AAATGATTGTATTACCTGAGTCGAAGAAGCCAGAAGAAGCTGGTCTTGTCACCAACCTGAATTACTGCGCTTACCACAGGATATTGGGACACCTTGTCCAGGATTGCGTCACTCTCAAGGATCATATTGAGGATTTGATCCTGAGGGGGCAGATACAACTTGAGAGTCTCAAAAAGGCGTTTGGAAAGGCTAAAGCTTCTCACGTGGTAACAATAAAAGAAGAAGACGAACAGGAATATCATCTAGATAACATGCCACCGGATCTTCTCCAGGCGATGTACTGCATGATGCTCCAAGTTGGGGTCATCATAGCAAAGCCAACCCAGATACCTCCCTCGAGGGTCCAGAAAACTGTGGTACCTGTATCACCATATATGAGGTCACGGTCTAGATGAGTGCTTCACCTTTCAAACCATAATGAAGGAGAAAGTACAAGAGGGGCACTTCACCGCCCCTATCCCAGACAATCATGACAGACTACCGTCACCAGAGGTCATTCAAACACAGACGTCCTCTGAGAATGCGCAGACTGATCCAGATGAACCTTCAACTTCCCAACCATGGCAAGTCTATCGAGGACAAAACCGAAACAGGTCCATGAGAAGGGAAGCGGTTCGTCAAGCAAAGCCAACTCCCAAGCTACGTCAGCCCGATCAGCCTATCTCTGTGCATGAAAAAGGTAAAAAGAGACAAGTACCAAGGGCCATTTATCCAAAGAAGAAAATCCCTTAGCCCCAGACCATGGCAGAGTTTCTTGAGCCCCTTCCTCCTATACCAATTCTGCGGAATTTCTTCCCCAAGTCAAGCGCTTTCACTGATCAAGACTCGCAGTCTAGTCAAGCACACATTCCTGAGCCTTCCTCTCCTCAAGTTCCCAAAATTTCCAATAAGGGTGATGACATTAAAAGCACCCCCCAACGGTCCACGCAGGGTGAAGACCAAAAAGATCCCTTGCACCCATCCAATTCTGATGATGACGCTAAAAGCTACCTGGATCGGTCCAATCTGAGTGATGACCCTAAAAGCTCTCCCCCTCCTCCTGTCTCCAACTCTTCTAGTCCCTTTTCCTCTTCTGCTAACACATCTTCTACAGGTACAACATGCGAATGCCCAAAATTTGAAGCACTTGATAAAGAGCTGAAAGTTGCAGCACTAGCAGAAGACATCAGAGCCAATTAAAAGAGACGGTGGCCCAAGCAACCAGCTTCTTGTCAGTTGCTGATGCCCTGACATCCAGAGCGAACGCAAAGCCTCCTACCACCATCGAGAAGCGTCCCAAGCAATGCAAGAATCCCAAGTCCAAGAGACCCCAATGGTTTCCTGAACCGGACTTCGAGCAACGACTGAAATAGTCTAGAGGACAGAGCTCCCACTCTCATAAAGCATGCCACACGATGCAGATCTCTTGAGCGGCAACCAACGCTGACCCAATTGGTCTAAGGTCACGCAGGAAGTTGCAGCTGCCCGTCCAGCAGCCTCGGCAGCCCAGACCCCTGAAATATCGTGGTCCGCCACTCCTCCCATTCCCTAATACCCAAACTAATCTACAACCACTCCTCAAATACCCTGGACCACCATTAGTTTCATACACCAGCTCGCTTCGGTTCCATACACCAGCCAGCTTCCAAACCCTTAATCTCCATCTAGCTAGTCCATACTGGGCTCGGCTCCACCATCTGGTCAGTTGGCACCAAATCTGGTGGCACAACCTTTGCCAACCCAAACCTCACAACCTCTTCAAACCAACCCGATTGCACAACAATGTCATCCGATACACCAAAACAATCCTCCACTACCTAAACCTACCTCTCAGCCTTCTGTATCACCTAGACCTATGGCGGGTTCAGAAAACCAAAGAGCTAACAATGGAAAAGACAAGTATGATGTGGTGGTTGTCTCTGTGATCGCCGAAACACAGAGCCCTCCCCTCACACTTTCTGAGCCCTTCTCTTCCCAGTCGACCGGCGCCTCACAATTCGTTGTGTACCCTCCCGCTCCTTGAAGCAGACTCTTCGTTGATCAAACACGAAGCTGATGCAGTTATCATGTTTCATATCATCAAATCCTCATTCGAGGAGGAGATGTCAGGAGCATGGGTACCTGCATTTGAGGTTAATGAAGAGCCCTCGAAATCACCAACTGAGGAGGAGATAGAAATCCAAGAAGCCCCTGAGGAATGGGAAGAATGTGGGTAGGCTACGCCCGATGATCTAGAGGAGATAAACTTGGGAGATGAAGCTGATTGAAGGCCGACTTTTATTTTGACCAACATGTCACCGGAAGAGAAAGGAAGTTGTACTCCTTTCTTGCATCAAAATCGAGATGTCTTTGTCTGACATTACCACGAGATTCTCGATTAGGAAGCCCAAATTTCTGTTCATCAACCTGACATCGACTCATCTTTCAAATCTATAAAACAGAAGTGGAGAAGATTTCAGCTTGACCTCGAAATGTAGATAGATGCTGAAGTAAATAAACCAAGGAAGCAAGCTTTATCCGAGAAGTTAAATACCCGAAATGGCTCGCAAACGTCATTCCAGTTAAAAAGAAGAATGGGCAAATCAGGGTTTGTATTGACTTCCATGACTTGAACGCTGCTTGTCCGAAAGATGACTTTCCGTTTCCATTCACATAAATGCTTATCGACTCTATAGCCCATTGTCAAATCTTCTCTTTCATGGATAGATACTCAGAGTATAATCAAATAAGGATGGTGCTAGAGGACGAGGTGGCCACCTCCTTCTTGACTCCTAAAGGGGTCTTCTGTTACACAATGATGCCATTCGGATTGAAGAATGCTGGAGCCATGTATGAGCGGGCAATGACCACCATTTTTAAAGATATGTTGCACAAGGAAGTGGAATGTTATGTCGATGACTTGGTGGTAAAATCTAAGAGCAAGGAAGTTCACATGCGTGACCTTGAACGAGTGTTTGAGCGGCTTCGCCTACACTAGCTCAAGATGAACCCCTTGAAGTGCGCCTTTGGTATACGTTCAGAAAAATTCTTAAGATTCCTTGTCAGGTATCGAGGATTGGAGATTGAACCTGTCAAGATCAAGACAATAAGAGAAATGCCACCGCCAACAACTCTTCAAGAGCTCCAGTCTCTATAAGGCCAGCTTGCCTATATCCGAAGATTCATCTCCAATCTCTCAGGTCATTGTAAGCCTTTTACACACTATTGAAGAAAGATTCTCCTTTCATATGGGATGGAGGATGTCAAGCAGCCCTGAAGGATGTCAAGCAGCCCTGGAGGATATCAAGGAGTATTTTCTAAGCCCTCCAGTACTCTCTACGTCAGTATTGGGAAGGCCTCTCATTTTGTATGTGACTGCTCTCGACGAGTCACTTGGTGCACACTTAGCACAAAACAATGAGGGAGGAAAAGAAACCGCTTTATACTACCTCAGCTGCAGCATGCAAGAAGCTGAGAAAAACTACCTGCCAATCAAGAAAATGTGCCTGCCTTTGATCTTCGCGGTTCAGAAGCTTCACCATTATTTGCTTAGCCTTGAAGTCCAGCTCATTTCAAGAGCTAATCCCATCAAGTTCCTTATGATGCGCCCCTGCCTATCAAGGAGCCTAGCAAAATGGTCATTGTTACTGATGGAATTCAACATCATGTACGTACCACAAAAAGCCGTCAAAGGCCAAGCCTTAGCTGATTTCCTAGCTGCACACCTCCTACCGGCAGAATCCCCTGTCAAGTGATCTCCCTGAAGAAGAGGTGTTTTGTGTTGAGCAACCATATGATTGGAAGATGTATTTAGACAAGGCCTTTCAATCTGAACGAGGTGGTGCTGCTGTGGTGTTCCTGACCTCAAGATGGCGTTATCCCCTTATCCTTCTCTCTCACAGAGATAGACTCGCACATCGAGGCAGAATATCAAGACCTCATAATTAGGCTCGAGATTGCCCTAGACTTAAACTTGGAGTAGCTGGCCATTTCCGGTGATTCTGAGCTAGTAATAGGATAAAGGAATATACGATATGAGAAAGGACATCCTCAAGCCCTATCATGACACTGTTAAAGCTTTGATGGAAAATCTCGATGACCTTTCTTTACAGCACATCCCCAAAAGGCTGAATTCCCAATTTGATGCCCTAGCCAAGCTCGGAGCCACCATCCAACTCTCCCCAAAGGAACCCATGCCCGTATGGGTATCAGAATGGAGGCACGTCAAGCTGAGGATTCTCTTCCTAGAATGTCCTCCTTATTCGTTTGGGGCACTCCTTGCTGCTAAGGATGCTCTCGAAGCCAAAAAAGCGACGAATCGGGCTGAGAAATGGGACGACTTTGATCCGATATGCACAAAGATTGAGCAGGTTGAGGACTGGAGGGAACCCATAATCAACTTCATTTAAACATGATCGGCTACCAAACGATCGTATTGAGCGCAACAACGTACGAAGGATGTCTACTGAATACACTCTTCTTGAAAACAACACCCTCTTCTGATGTTCCTTCGATGGAATCCTTCGCAGATGTATCAGCTCAAAAGGAGCAGAATGCATACTAGAATAAGTGCATTCTAGAATCTGCGGACTTCACCAGTCAGGACCCAAACTCTACGAGCGGATACATAGGCTGGGGTACTACTGGCCATCATTGATCACAAACTCGATCGCATACACCAAGAGATGGAAGTGTGTCAAATGCACTCGAATCTCATTCACCAACCACTAGGGCCTCTGCATCCTACGGTGATGTCATGGCCCTTCTCACATTAAGGCACGGACATTGTAGGACCCATCAACCCTCCATCATCATCAAGCCACACCTTCATCTTAGCCACCACAGATTACTTCTCCAAATGGGCCTAAGCAGTTCCCCTCAGGAGTGTCCCCGGGACAGCAGTGGCCAACTTTGTACATCATCACATCATTTACCGATTCAGTGTGCCCGACCGTATCACGTCAAATAATGGTCCTCAGTTCAGAAGCCAGCACATCTATCGCTTGGTTAACCAGTTTTGTTTCGAGTGGAAGTACTCCACTATGTACCACCCTCGGGCAAATGGTTTGGCTGAAGCTTTCAACAAGACTCTTTGCAGTGTTTTGAGGAAGTCAGTGTCCAGCACAAAGAAAAATTGGCACGAGAAGCTTCCCGAGGCCCTGTGGGCTTATCGCACCCTCACCCGAAGTGCTTCTGACTCTACTCCCTATTCATTGGTCTATGGAAGTGAAGCGGTAATACCCCTCGAGATTCAACTCCCTTCATTGTGCATTGCCATATATCAGACTATGATTGAAGATGAACAGGTTAAGCTTTGCTACCAAGAGTTAGATGCGCTTGATGAGAATAGATTCGAAGCCAAGCAGAACCTTGAACTCCATCGAGGGAGGATGAAGAGGGATTTTGACGAATCAATCAAAGTTTGTTCATTCACTTGTGGTTATTTAGTCCTAGCAGTAAAACGACCGATCGTTATGCATGGGCGACGTAAGGCGAAGTTTGAGCCAAAGTGGAGGGCCCTTTCGTGATCAAGAAATCCTCTTCAAATGGAGCTTATATACTCGTTAATCCTAACGGGAAGGAAGCAATGCCTCCTATCAACCGACGTTATCTAAAGAAGTACTACCTTTGACTGATGGTCTCGGAGGCAAGACCCTAAAACATGCCCTCAAGTCTTGGCATGTGACCATAAAACACACCATCTCTCCAGTCCGGAAGGTGTGACCTTAAAATGCCTCCCTAGAAAAAAAACAAAAAGAGAAAAGAAGATGGGCGTGGAAAAAACCTAAAAGGGCACCACAGTAAAAAATGTCCAAAAGGAAACGACGTGGCATGGTAGCATCATTCGCTATCACGAGTAAGAATGTCAAAAGACGGACATGGTGAAAACCCAAAAGGGTATCATGTGCAAAAGAGTCAGTAGAAGCGAGAATAAAAAAAAGGGGGGAGACAATCAACGTAAACAAGCTAAGTTTCCATTCAATTAATAGAAGTTACAAGTTACAAGTGTGTAATCTCAAAGAGCTTAAAATGTGAAAAGGGCGTCAGCATTGCTCTTACATCTGAGGAAAAGAGAACAGCTAATCGTCAACATTGCTCATGCATCTGAGGAAAAGAGAGCAGTTGATCACCAGTGTCACTCTCACAGAGGAAAAAGAGAAGGGCTTTAGATCGAGTATAGCAAATGACCATAGCAGACCCCTCTGACAAGGAACTGGCCTATGATGGAGAGCATGCCTTGATCATGGTAGGTGCTCTTCCATAAAGCAACCTGGAGCTCACAATTGTGCTTGAGGACATGGCATCCAACAGACCTTGCAAGCCAGATAAGGATTCCACTGACCGACCAAGAGCCTATGCGAATGTCAGCCTTCAGTAGTTTCTTCCTGAGACCTTGACGTTCTACGAGACCCTCATGCCTCTTAAAACACACACCGTTGTGCATGCAACCCACCGTGAGCACCCATCGCCGTGTGCGGGCACTGTCGTGTACATTCTCACCACTGTACGTGTTCACTGCCATGCGCATGCTTCCCACCGCGTGTTCACCACCATGCGTGCTCACCGCCGCACGCGCGTGCATGTTCATCGTTGTTCATGCTCACTATCGTGCGGGTGCTTCCTGCCATGTATACACTGCCAAGCATGCATGTATGACGCCTTGAATTTTGTGCATGATGCGTCCTTGATGGGTAACCCTTTGCTTTCCGTACATGGGCATGCGTGGCCCTGCAATCACCCCTTGACTCCTTGGCTGCCCGATGACCCTTTGGCTCCCTTGTGAGCCACCCGGCTGGAAAACCGCCAACCAGAAAACCACTGACAGTCACCGAAAGGACCTCTACAACTCACTAGGTACCCCCTTAGGCTTCTCGTGAAACCTTCATTGTTGCCGAAAACTCCCTGCGATTCCCGTAAAAATCGCCAAAGCCACTGAAAGGCTTCTACAAATTCCCTGCCTTCACTGTGCTCAACACCAGTGGCCACCAAAAAACTGCTACTTCCTTAGAAAACACCAGGGTTCCTCTGGTTCTCTCCCAGCAACTATTGCCGACAGGCCCTCGCACAAAAAAGGGCCATGCCCCACCTTTTACCTCTTCTCGGCCAACACCCTTGCTCACAGCCAAGCCTTTTTCTTCCCCTTTCCAGTGTGTTCCTCTCACTAGAAAACACTCACTGCCAAGCCCTTTCTCTCTGCTCACCGGAGTTCACTCTCTCCCTGCTAAAACCCTCAGTCATTTTTCACTAAGGTAAAATGGTAAAAGAAAAAAGGGGGTTTAAACCCCTTTTATACCCAGGGGTTCTCAAAAATGCCCCTCTCAAAGAAAAAATGGCACTCAAGTCCTGAAGTCCAAACGGTGATCGGCCAGATCGGGTCGAGCTTGATCCGAGCCCGAACCCAAACTAAGACGTATTGCCAAGCACCTCTCACAGTCGTGCACGTTTCTTGATGCTGCATTCTTCTCACTATCGTGTGCATTTTGATGTCGCGCACTTCTCACTGCCGTGCGTGTTTCTTGATGCCGCACACTTCTCACTGTCGTGTGCATTTTGATGCCATGTACTTTTCACCCTCGTGCACTTCTCACGGCCGTGTGCATTTTCATGCCGTGCACTCTCCACTGCTGCGTGCCTTTTGCTACCATGCGCATTTTGATACCATGCACTTTTCACTGCCACGTGCCTCTTACTATTGAGTGCACCCCTTGCTACCGAGCATGTTCGTTGCTATGCGTACTCTGCTGCAGTATGCGCCTCGACAATCTCTGCTGATGCCGCAGCCAAGCAGACCATCTCTATCCTGTCATGCGCAACCTTCTACCGCTGCATCCACGCCTTTCGCACGCCTTTCTTAACCGGCCCGTCCATATGCACACCAGCAGGTTCGGCCCTCATTACCTTTCCATCACAAACAAGGAACCACCCTTGGTTCCTAATTCCCCAGGGAGTCCATTTTCAGCTACCATCCCTCACTGGGCCACTATCACCACCTGAACCCACTGTCCATAAATGGTCTTGGTCATTTCATCCCTAGTGAGTCAAACCACCATCCACAGACCCATTTCCCATGGAGCCTCATCCACTTCACATCTCCCAGTGAGTCCATCCCTCATTGACAACCCACATACATGGTGACTCATACACAGTCCAACTGTATGACCTTAAACTATAGTGCATATCCTTACCGCATGATGCTAAACTGCTTTGCACAATGGTTCAGCTATATGACCTTAAACTATAGTGCACATCGTGGCCGCATGAAGTTAAACTGCTTTGCGCAATGGTCCAGCTGTATGACCCTAAACTATAGTGCACGTCCTAGCCGCATGACGCTAAATTGCTTTGTGCAACGGTTCACTTGAATGACCCTAAACTATAGTGCATGTCCTAGTCACATGACGATAAACTGCTTCGCACAACGGTCTAGTTGTATGACCATAAAAACTGTAGCGAACGTCCTAGCCACATGACGGTAAATTGCTTTACACAATGGTCCAATTACATGACCTTAAACTGTAGCACACGTCCTGGCCACATGACGCTAAACTGCTTTGCCCAGGTCCCGGTGGCGTGACCTTAAACACGCCTCCACACACGTGTGCCCCCTCCATTGCACACATGCCGACCTGTCCACACACTCATCCTCGGTGAGTCTTACCCATGCTCACGAAACGACAAGCCATTCCATCATCCATACTCGCCATCAGTTAGTGGGTCACCCATTATCCACCTACCATTTAAACATCATCCATCATTCATAGATAGTCTCGTACCATCTCCACCAAATGAGTCAATCCACCACCATACTCATTCCATGGCCACCACAGACCATCATCCACCACTATCATGGTCCAGTTGCACTAACTTAAACTGTAGCACACGTCTTGACCGCATGACGTTAAACTGCTTTGCCCAGGTCCCGGAGGAATGACCTTAAACACGCCCCCACAAAAAAATGGGCATGGTGTAAATCTGAAAAGGGGAACGCCATGAGTAAAAATGATAGACGGGCATGGCCATGAAGCCATGAGTAAAAGCATTTCGTAAATAAAAACCAGGCACGGTGGAACCCGAAATGGGCACCATGAGAAAAAATGGGAAAAAAAAAAGTGGCAGACATGGCCACCAAACCATGGGCAAAAAAGTTTAATAAAAATGAAGTTGGTGAAAACTGTCTTTACGGCACCGCTCCCCCAGTCCAAGTGAAAACCCGTAAAGAGCGCTCGGACCAATAAAAGCAAGTTGATGTAGCATTCGTCTTCACAGACAGCTTCATCCAGCGTTTAAAAAAAAAAGAAGAAAAACCCTCCCAAACAAAACATCCACAACATGTAAGAAACTGTCAATCCAGGCCAAGCAAACCTGGTGAGGCTGCAAACAACTTACTCATAAGTCCAACAGGGTGTAGATGTTAAAATCATCCCTCAACATTCACAACAGGCAAGAAACTGTCAACCAGGTCAATACCTGCCCACAGCAACCAGGGTAGAGCCCTTTCAAGGCCGCCTCGACAAAACCCCTTCCTGACTGGACCAAACGTTTGGGCAAGCCAACAAAAAGCCCCCAACTAGACCTGACAGGACGGGACCTCAGAGGTACCCTATTTGTCACAGCAAACCTCGCATAGCAGCAAACAACGCCGCCAAAACATCCAACAGGGTGTAGACTTTAAAATCATCCCCCACAGGGAAGAAACTCTCATACCAATCGTCTTGCAAAACCTGGTGTGGCTGCCAACAACGTCGCCAAAATGTCTAACAAGGTGTAGACTTTAAAATCATTCATAACAAGCAAGAAACTGTCATACCAGGCGTCCTGCAAAACCTAGTGTGGCTGCTAACAATGCCGCCAAAACGTCCAACAGGGTGCAGACTTTAAAATCTATTCAAAATCTCTTCTCCCCCTAAAAAAGCCTCCATGTCTGAGCACCTTGGTTACCCCTCCGGGAAGAAGCTTCGCACAACTACTCCTTCGGTAGACGTGTTGATCCAGTGACCAAGAAGTTTCTTTTTTAAGGCTGAAGGACCAGTTTTGATTCTGAATGTTACTCTTCTCGCTTCTCTCAAAGGATAACATTCAGTGGGGTAAGTTGTTTAAGGGTATTATTTAACACTTGTATCCCCAATGCAAATAAAGAGAAAAGAAATTGCGACCTAGGTCTGCAGGTACCAAAGTGCCTAGTGACTATGAAAGTCGTAAGATAATAAACCCTGATCCAGAACTGAAATTTTCAACAGTCTCAGAACGGCCCAAGAAAGTTCAAGAATTTTGATAAAGGTCTCTTAAGAACACCTGCCAAATATCATCGCAATATGACAAGTTTAAGGCAGTGCAGATGGAGAAACAATTTTGGGAAAATTTGTCTCTTTTGCCCTAAAATGGACCTTATAACTATAAACCTATCACCAGAGTACCAAATGACCATGGGACCACCACCATTGGATCTAGAACGTCCAAAAAGGACCAAGTTCCTGCTTGATCAAGCATTCATGGACCAAGTTATGGCCAAATTACCCAAAATGCATAG